TGATGCAGTGAAATCTTCAATTATTTTCACTGAAAAAACGCGCTACCAAGGTTAAATTTCACAATTCTACCCTAAAATACAAAATTTTTTAAAATATTTGCATTAATTTAAAGTACAAAATGTTCTTTAAACTTACATAATTATATACATATGTATAAAAATACATACATAAAAATCTTAAATAATTATTACATTTTTATTAAATCTTTTTTTCAAGATAACTTTTTTAATTTAAATATTGCTAAGTGATGATGTTAAGTAATTAAAATTATTTAAAAAAAAAGAAGCATTCAAAAGAAGAGAAGAAAAAAAAACAATAAAATTTTTAATGTAATGATTTTTTTACAATTTTTCATTCAAAAAAATTTCTTACAATATAATGGAAGAATTCCTTACATCCGAATATTTTAAAATGCTCATATCCTTGAAAATCAGAACAACAAAAATTATACATAAAAACATCATTTTTGTGCATTACTTTCATTTCATATGTACAATTCCTTTATCAAAACTCGTCGACTTTGTCATCGCATCCTCAAAATAAGAAGACATTAAAATGTACTCACAAATCACACATATGCGGCGGTACGGTAAATATACTTCTAGCTACATACCTACATACAACATTTTAATTTAACATTTCTCTTTTCTTTTGTATGCGCGTTTTCATTTTCTTTACACAATAATGTTTTCTCATCTTTATCATTTTTGCAAATTGAAACATCCTTACCTAAAAACCATGTTCATCTTTTGTTCATCCTTTATTTCTTTTCTTCCTTATTTTAATATAAAAATGAGAAAAAAATAAAAGAGAAATTTTTATAATAATAAATAATTACAAAATTTGATATGGGTATGACTAGGAAATGTCTACATAAAATCCTGATGGTATGATGATATTTTTACAAGATATCCTAGAGAATTACTTGAATGAATAAAAATAATGCGAATACAGTTGGTATAAAAATGAAATTATAAGAAAGTTATTATTTTATTTTGGGGAAAAAATAAAAAGGCTTTTTTTTCTTTGCATTTGTGAAAATTCTTTGCAATTTGTGGCACAAGAAAAATTGGGCTAACTGAGTGTGTAAAATTTAAAATGAACAAAAATAATTTATTAATCAAAATTGGGATTCGATAGTCAATACTATACTGTATATAGTGAATTAAAACTTTAGAAACTATAATATCAATATCAATTGCGTGTAACTGAAGTTAGTCATGAATGCGACATGACGCCCGCGTGTAAAAGTTCGAATATACGTTGATAACGCAAGTGATTATTATTTGGTTTTTTTCTGCATTTCTTTAAAGGCTGAAGAATTGAGGATTTTTATATGTCACAAAATGAATGGCGAAGAAAACATTTTGATTCTGAAAATATTTTCCGCTTTATTGAAATAATTTGTAGATTGTCAACTGTGAAAATTGCTTTATTGCAAATGGCCTTGTGTTTACAATAAACATATCAAACTATCAATTAGCAGTGATTCGACAATCTGTGCTGACTTTGTTTGTTGCCGTTAAGGCAATGAAACACTCTGTGCGGTAACGCAAAACAAAAATATTGTTAAAGGGAAGGTGTAGGTAGCATTAATGGAGGCAAAATATAATTTTTGGTTCGACGCATTTTCTATTTATTTTTTTTCCTATTTTGTAAGTCTTGTGTTCTTTTACATATTTTTGTAATTTGTTTTTGTCCTGAGTTTTTTTCATTTTTGGTATGTTTGGTTTCAATTTTCCTACAACTTTGCGTTATTGTGTTAGAAACGGTACAAAAAAGGAATTGTTATACATTTTCATTCATTGCTCTATAAAAACGCTATTGTATTCGCTAAATTTTACTTGATTTTCGGCTCTATATTTTTTTTTGGGAAAAAATATTTGGTAAGCAGATGTTTTTTTTCATTCTGTTCGACTTGACATTTTGTTAAGAATTTTTTTTTTTTGAAATGTTAATAATGTTAGAAAATGTTTTTATATATAGACAATATAATATTGTCTATATTTTAGTATTGTTAAAAGAGTTCAGATTTTATGATGAATTTTTTAAAGAATTTGGAAATGTTTTCAAACTCGCAATTTTAAATTTAAATTTAATAGGTACTAGGAATAAGATGAATTTATACAAATTGGAGTACGTTTGAATGAAATTTTTAAATCACATTTAAGTTTGCAATAATTTATAAGTTTTATTTATTTGATATCAAGTTTATAAAGTGATAATTTAACCCTGTGTCCAAAATGTTAATTGTTTCTGGTAAAATAAAATTAACTGCCTGATTTTATCCTGCAGTGCGCAAGAAGTTTAATATCTGCTAATTTCTTGTGGCTATTTTCTATTTGTAGAAAGTATGAAATCATGTTAATCACGCCATTCGTTTGATTTTGCAAATGACAATCTTCTTCAATTATGCAATTATCGCAATTGATATTTTTTAAATTATTTCAATATGTTTTAAATGTTTATATGTTTTTATATGTTTACAAATAAATATTCTGTTCGTCATTCATTTTGTCACGTATAAGAATAACGTATGCATCAGTCTCCAAAGGAATTCCAAAATTAACTACAATAATCAGTTGCGTTATATTCATTCACTCAATTTCGCAGTTTATTCTTAAGATAAATAGTCAATAAAATTCTTCTAATTAATCAAAAAACACAATTTTAAAAACAACATTTTAAACTGGAAATGGTAATACTTTCCAAAAAAATCAAACAGTACTGTAAATGATTCTAGCCCTTCAGGCATTATAAGTCTTTTATAAATTAATTCAAAAATTTTAATTTTATCCTTGATCTCTAGATTTTTATGCAAATAAAAATTGAAATTAAAATATTTTCTGAATTAATTTAATAAAATTTATTAAAAACAGACGCCTATTTTATTTAATATTTTTAGCAACTTTTAATCTAATGGATTGGTTTTGAAATATCTTGGGTCTGAAATATGATTCAATATTAAAATTTAAGACATCTGGCACTAGCATAATTTAACCAAAAAATTATTTATTAAATTTAAGACAATCTTAAAAAAATTCAGTTATTCTGCATTACAGTAGCAGTACTGGAAAATTTTGATTTTTTTATCATTTATAGTTAATTTAATTTAATAAGAAAAAATAAAGATAAAAATTTTTTAACAAATTCTTGTAACTTTAAAATTTACTTTTGAAAAAGTTCAATGATGTACACAAAATATAATAATAGAATACAAAAAACATGAATTTATTTAATATTGTACGGAGCAAGTGAAATAAAATTGACATGCAAATGTATGTACACACACAAAATATATGAATCCATTCGTACATAATTCTTTTTTCATACCCTCTCTCATACAATCCAATAAATATGTAGATATTTGTATGATGCGCAACAATATATTATGGAAAATTGTATGAGAGGAAAACAAAATTTAATTTATTATTACAGATACCTTTACATACCTGTTATTATGTTGGGTATTGGTATTAAATTATCTAGTCTACTGTTTTTTTTATTTATACGTTATTATCCTCCCGTAAAAAATACTTTAATTTTTATTTTCCCAAAAAAAAACTTCGCATATCCTTAGAAAATGTAATATACAATATGTTAATATATATATAAAATGAAATCAAATACTTCCTTAAAAAAATTTTTGTCGTCATCTCTTTCTTTCATCTCTCTCGATTGTGAATATTTTTTTTTGTTAAGATCAAAACAAATATCTTTATGAAGGTGGAAAGTGGGTGAAGCATGTGTGCGGTACAAAAATAAAAGTTGAGTTAACAAAAATATTCATGTAATTCTTTTTGTCAAAAAATATCTTTGTATATAATTTATTTTTTATAAAGTAAAACTGGCAGTCAGTCACCTATATAACTTCCCTATTTAACGAGCAAACATTAATGCGTTAGTATTTTTAGAATTTTCCAGCGAAAAATTGCAATATTTTTTCCAAATGAAGTTTTTCGTGGCAACTTAAAATGCATAATTTGTTGTTCAACATGTTATGTAAACATTTTACACAAATTTGATGTTATTAAATGTCAAATTTAAATTTAATTCACATTATGTACAACAAATTACTTACAATACAGTAACGCTTAATGATACAGTACGCTTACTTACAAGTGTATGATTAAACGTATGCACAGCTATTCATGTTATGTTACTCACACACTCTCTTCTACAAATAATATTTATTTTTTATTCTGCACACATTCAATGCAATACACATGTAAACAAGCCCAATGTGTCGCATTTTAATAATTTTAATTTCAGTTAACACTATATTATATCGAAGTTTTACTGTACTTGTATTATTTAAAAAATATTAAATGTATGGATTCAAAATATAAGAATGGACGAAGCTTGGGGAATAAATTTAAATTGAAAAATCTAAAAAAAATCAAAGAAATTGAAGATGAAAATAAATTTTTTTTTTCGTTTCATTTCAAATTTTTAATGTGAAAAAATTGTATAAAAGAAAATCTTATGATATTCATTCGTCGTCGTCGTTCATGTTTCTTTCAATTTAAAAACTGATTGAAGATTATATTTCCGTATAATCAGCATAAAAATTTAATTTTACATATATTTTATTGATAAAAAAGAAAAAAATAATATTGAAATATGTACATAAAATAGCTACAAGTATTTTAATAGTAGGTATAATAAGAAATATTAGAAAATTTAAAAATTTAATTAGAAAATTACTGAAATTATTATTAAAGATCAAGATACATTCAGGTACCAATAATATATTATTGTTCTTTTGAACTTTAAATATGAGTTGAAGGTTGTTTTAATATAAACATTTTTCCAGGAAAATAGGAAAGAAAATTTTCACATTACTTATGTATTAGTTTAATGCACTACATTAATATAATTTGATTAGTTTTGCCATGTGGCAACACTGATGAAATTGAACGAAGCTATTGAACGAATCTATTTTTATTTTTGCAAACTGTCACTTTTTTTTATACAAAGTCATCAAGTGGAGGGAATTTAATTGTTCTATTTTTACAAGAATAAAAATGATGAGATTATCGAATAAATGTTCCAAAAAAGATTATATTAATAAATAAAAAAGATAGTAATGTGCATCTGCAGACGATCAACCCAAATAAGCTGACTGCGCTGAACGAAATATTAAGAACGTAGAGACTCCAACCTGCATTAACTTCAACAGGTAAGTTGAAATATCTTTTAGATAATGTAGGTAAATCAAATGTACTTACATACATATATCTATATGAGTATTATATACTTTGATGAATTTATTTTTAGGTTCAGATGAAAATTTCTTCAGATAAGTATACAATAGTATTGATGTTTACATACTTTGTATTCTTTGAAAAGATTTTGTGCTTGTGACGTTACGGCGTAAAAATCAGCATAGACGTAGTTATAGGTAGGTAAATTTTTAAAGAATTTCCAATAATTTTAATTTATAGGTAACATTTAAAATTTATTGATTTTTTTAAAATTATGTTCGAAATATCGTTGAATTCCGTGATCTATTTTACTTTAAAATAATTTTTAGAATTACAACAAAATGGGTATAAATGATTTAAATTATAAATTTAATTAGTATAGGCAAAGTTTTAATATTTTTAAAACTAAATTAGACAATAAAACGTTGTCTAAATAATTGTTTTTTTTTTCATATGTGAAATTTATGTCAGAAATAATTGCTGAATCCACTCATTTCTAAATATTGTATGTACTTATAAATTTGTTCCTTGAATTATAAAAAATAATTATTTAAAATTTTTCAATTGAAAATTATGTTTAAATACTTTAAAAATTTTTTGTTCACAAATTTTTTTTCCACTAATTCCATCCAAGGTGTTCTATACAATTTTTTTCACCTGTTCTATTTTCAAATAGGGCAAACTATCCTCCTCTTGAAAAAGCAAATAAAAATCTTGCAAATTCAAATTAAATTTTGTTATTTTTAAATTAAGTTTAATTAGAAATTAGATTATAAAAAACATCTTTTATTTTCAATGGAAATATTTAAAATTTTCAAAAAATGCAAATATAGGTGAATCCTTCACTCTATTCTTTAGAACATTTTTAAAAGATCACTTCTGTTATATAATGTTAATTTCGATATAAAAATGAAGTGGATAAAATTCAATTTAAAAGAATAATAAAAAAAAATGAAAACCAAAGATGACAATTTTTTTTTCAATAATCGCCTAGTCAATGATTTCTTTGTTTGTTTTATACTAATAAAAAAAAAAAACACATATTAACATTCAATCATGCACTCTTATTTTCCAACACACTTAATACCGATGGGATGTTTGTATATGGTAGGATAAAATCACTGTCATTGTACATATATACATACATGAACTCTGGAACAAGTGCAGACTTAATAATCATAAAAATCGATTTTGAGATCTAATATGGAGCTTTTCTTTTGTACGTACACACATACATACATGAATTTTATTTATTTTAGGAATTGATAAAAAACGAAAGAAAAAGCTGGAAAAAAAATAACTTAAATTGAATAAAATCACTAAAAAGTAAATATTTAGTGCACATATACGAATATATAAAAAATTGCATTGTACGAGTTTAATAAAATCGTTTCAAAATATGTGCACATATACATATGAGTAGTACCCATTAAAGTATAATATTGGAAGAACACCATTGGAGATATTAAGATATAGAATTAGATTGAAGTGCAAGTATAATATTATAAATAGGAAAAAATTGGAGTAAAATTCATAGAATATAAGCGAACAGAATTTAATTTTTTTTTTAATATCTTGCATAACACATCTTCATTTTAACCCTTGAAGTCCTTTTTATTATCGTATAATATTGAAACGAATATCTAATATAATATTGTCGTCATTATAGAAAACATTCCATATTCATACTTAAAATTTTTACTCTCTTCTAATACTATGTACCTACATGTACCACATATATATTAGTTAGGTACATTAAAATATTAAAAAAAAGATGTGATCAACACATAAACGAACGGTATTTATCTTCTGAACAACACATTTAGAAATTTTTAAAATCTAGTCTTATTAATTTAGTAAAAGAACGGTAGAAGGTGTGTGTAAATGTCGTTTATAATTTAAATTCAAATTTTAAAACGCAAAGCCAATCAACTTATAACACATTTTAACAAGTACGAGTTTTGTGCATATTAAGACTGAGGCTCACTGTCCTCTGTATTACAATTTTCAAAAAAGGTTTTATGTTACTTTCATAATATTACCGAACTGAATCCAAATATAATAGTTTAAAAAATTAAAATAAATTCATTAAATTACGTATGTGAAATGAGATATGATAAATGCTCGTATCTGAAAAATGATAAACTCGTATACAACAATAATGTTCAATTTCTTTAACTAGATAAACTAAAAATTATTCAACCCATCAAAATCCGAAAAAAAATTCTAATATAAAATTTAATGAAAACGGGTGTATATAGTCGAGATTGAGGTACAGAATCGCAGTATTAAAACCTATCTATATAGATTGACCAAAAGGTTTTTGCCGGCATCTCTCGGAACTTGACTATGAAATGCATTTTGTATTGAAAAAGCGCCATGCGAACTTTACCAGAACAATACCTTGCATATTGTGTGGTAAAAATATCTAAAAAAAATGTTTTATTCATTTTATCTTATACTTTTTTCGCATTAAGGATTTTATAATAACAATCAAAAAAAAAAAATTCATTGAACCATATTGTTAAAATTGAAAAATAAAAATCGCAAGGATCTAAGCAAAGTATGTATATTCCATGTACGTATGTACGTTTAAAGTACAATAATATTATAATGTGTTATATAAAGGGAGTTCATATGTGACATTGACGACATTATTATTATTGCTTTTATGACTTTTTAAATTTTTTAAAGAATAAGATGAAAGATATTAAGTACGTACGTCGTACATATATGTGGATGTATGTGTATATGGTATTTTGGGAATTTAAAAAAGGATAATAATATAATATTAGAATATAAAATATCCTTGAAAATGAAAATTTTCCATTTAATTCTATTGGAAATAACTAAATCTCTCTTAATGTTTTTTTTTTTTCAATTTTCCATTTTTCGTTGTTTTCTGTCGTTTTTCTTAATGTTTTATTGAAAATTTCTGAATTTATATAGAGTTAAGATCTTTTAATGTTAAAATGAGCTTTTAAAGACATTTTATTTTAAATATTTAAAATGTAATTTTTATTATTCAATTTTATATTTTAACATATTCATAATACATACATACATATATGAAAATTTTAATTTATATTGTTTTCATCGAAAATATTTGAGTTAATTGAATGTTATAATGTTAAATACTTTTAAAAGACTGTCTTATGTTTTAAAAGGGAATAATAACTTAGAAACAGAAGTCAATTAAACTTTCTTGATTGGTAGTAAAATTTAAAGAACTATTGGATATTTTATAATGAAATTCAAGGAGACATTAGTAAAAATTAATCAATGGAAAACTAAAATACCCTTCCTCTTAATAATATAGAAATTTATGACATCATGGCAATAATAATCAAACATAAAAAGCCGACACGGTGGGGATCTGAGATCCCTTTTGTTTGATCTGTCCCCTACTGTGGATAGTCAATGTCGGCCATTAGGGGCAGCCTTGAAGTTCTGCTTGGGAAATCGAATCTTCATTGAGAAGCTATTGAGAGAAGTCATCTTGCGAAGCTGTTCCTTGCATTTTGCTCACGAAAGTTCTCTTCGGAGCTGCTGGGGATGGATCGAACTCCATATTTTAATATTTCAATTTTCCATATTTTAATATTTCATTTTAGCAATCACAACTCATTTTAATAGTGTTATGAAGTTTTAAAGAATTTTTTACTTTATATACTTTAAAAAAATTGTACTTTAATAATGAAATTTAATTTAATTTCAATAAATATTGTACATACTTGGATTTGTTGTATTTCGCCCATACACTCAAACAGTACCAAATAAAATGTTAAAGTGTTTAATAAAAAAAATATATTTTTACTATATTCGTATGTCATCAAAAAATTTCATACAAAAAATTCATTGAATTTAATTTGAAACAAAAGATAAAAAAACACAAAATTTTCGACTTGCATTGGAAAATCAGTGAAAATCGTTTATTTTTCGTATAGCTAGGTATATTTTCTTTAATTTTATATTATTCCATTTCAGTTTGAACTTTTCAAGTGCTTTGTACAACAAGTCGCATTTTTACAGGTGTACATATGTGTATTCCCATATATACATATATATTTGTGCGTTAATTTGAAAACCTTCCGAAATCAAAAACGTGATAAAATATTTTATCACGAAAATAGTCCTTTTAACACAAACGCATAGTATTTCTCTTCTCTTTTCAATCTTATTTAATTTTATTATTATTATTTTTGTTAGTGTTGTCGAGTTCAACTCTTATTCGTAATTTTGACTTAATATAATCACATTTTACAATTTTATATCCTTTTATCTTTTCTGTTTTTCATTGCTTTTTCATTTTTTTCATTACTTTTGTTGTTGTCCTTTCCCGTAAAAATGAAAATGATGTAAAATAATGCTATGTGAACGCCAACAATGTTGTAAAATACGAAAAATTCATGATTTTTTTTATTTTTGAAAATGTTGGTGTCTTCCAAAATATTTTTTGCCCCAAAAAAAAAAATTTATCTATGTATGTACAAACAAAAAGGATTTTACCATTTTTCCATCGTAATTTTTATTTTCTTCCTTCTTTTTATTATTTTTCGATTTTTGTTTTACGCAAGGATGTCAACCGCAAGCATCATATTAAAATAACTTTAAAAAACAAAAAAATATCACCACTACACTACAATTTTCAATTTTTGATTTGCTTTTTTTTGTTTTCGTTTGTGTATCACATTGCGACTTGTGTTGTAGTGTGCTGTGAATGGAAAAAGCAAAAGGAAGATTTCGAAAATGAGAAAAAAATTAAATTGAACCACCAAGCAAAGGACGAAAAAAATTAGCAGAGAAATGTTCAAATAATAAAACAAAAAAAAAAAAAACAAGGCAAAAAAACATGAAAAACTCTTGATGCGTGTCTCTTCTCATTAGCGGCAACGAATGTGGCGTTTACTCTCCTTTTTTTTGTTCTTGTGCTTTTTGACATTTTGCATAATTTTTATCATGACTCTTTTACGAATTATACAATATTTAAGAAGGTGTTTTATTTCATATATCGCGTTTATTCGCGGAGTTCACAGTGTTGTTAATTTTTTTCCAAGAATGCGGGAGTGAACAGCAGTAAAATATAGGCGAAAAGAGGTGAGCGGTAAACAAAAAGAGAATTTTCATATTTTAATTTTTGTTTCCTTTTATTCTCATTCGTTTTTTTTTTCTTTTTGAGTAATATGTTACGCTCGCA